TTTTGACCGGGAGTGCCCATGTTGGTCCAGAATATCTTGCCAGCCTTTTGGGAGAGGGCAATTCCATCTGGCATCGGCAGATGATGGGCGATTACCTTGAGCGGACATCTTCCATCCGCACTTCCGACGAGGATGCGGCCCTTTCTGTAGAACCCGACGTCATCCGGATCATTGTTCCATCCAATATCCAAAAAGTACAAGGACGGAACATGCAGATTGTCGTCACTGGCTTGTTCCTGGTTAACCGTCTTGACGGTGTGATTAGGAGGGTAAAGACCGCCCTTGCTGCTCTTGGCTCCGAGTCTGCCCTCGTCAATGTACTTTTGTAGAAAGGGCAAGACACCCCTGTCCTGCAGGCCACGCTCTTGGATGTAGTGCTTCTCGATGAGCGAAACGGTATCTAGGCCGACCGAGTCCATCAGAGTGCAGGGTGGACTACCGTTCTCGATAAACATGTCGGTCCAGACAGCGTCGAGTTCTTGGGGAGAAGCCACGCCTTCAGCCAGCACCATGAGACACTCGCGCTTGATGGCTGCCCAAACGCGGTTCAGGATGAAACCAGTCGACTCCTTGTGTGCAATCACCGGCATCATGCCTGACGCTCTGAAGTGTTTGAAGAGGAAGGGAAATATCTCGGGTCGCGTAGAACCACTCGTCATGAGCTCGACGATACGAATGGTCGGCGGAACCATGTAGTGGGTGTTTAGCATTCGTTGAGCCGTCTCTGGCTTGACCATGGCCGTCATCTCGCGGGACTTGTAGGAGGACGAGTTTGAGGCCAGGATGGCATCCGGCTGGGTGATGTTTTGGAGTTGGGCAAACAAATCGATTTTCATATTCAACCTCTCGGGTACGCATTCGATAACCAGCCAAGAATCCTCCACGGCGTGTTCCATATTCTGGAAGCCATGAACGCTGATGGTGTTCGGATCAACGATGGGCTTGTATCTCCATAGCTCGCTGGTGATGTACTGCAACGCCGCGTTCGTCTGTCGAGGGTCTGGGTCCCTGATGTGGACTTGGTAGCCGGCCGATGCCCAGCAGGCGCCGATTCGACGACCCAGGACGCCGGCCCCGAGAATTCCCACAGATCTTCCGGCGGTGGATGGTAACTTCCACGGCGTCATGATGATGGATGTCCACTGCCTAGGATCAGATTTCCACAGATGTTGAGAGATGGGGAACCGACATGTTATAGTTCAACAGGGAGGACAACCTAGGTGACCTAGGCATAGAGGTATGTTCCCAAGTACCTGTAGCTGCCCCCCCCCCCATAGGTAGCTGCAGTCTACACTCTCCCATCGCAGCTGCCCTGTTTCTGGATGTGCAATTTGAAAGCATCCGTCCCAATGCATCATGATAAGTACGTCGGCATGACGCGAGGCCACCAGGTCAAACCACAATTCATCTCACATCGACCCTTGCCATTCAACTCGGGTTCCTGACTTGTCCGGTCTCTCTATTGGGTCAGTAGCATACCGGTAGGCGCGTCTTGTGGTTTGTTTGACTCCAGGAAAAAGTGTGGAAGAAGAGGTCGAATGGAAGTATCCTGCTTGGTGAGTGATGAATCCATAGCCTCACTTGATAGTGTACATGGGGAACTGGACTAGAACTAGTTGCCGCTTGGATGAAACCTGGAAGCCCGGATGAGGTCGCAGTTCCCCTTGCGGTTCGGTGGTCCCTGTGAGCTACCAAGTGGGTCCCTCTCCACTTTCCCCGGCGTGCTTCTGCCGTGTCGTCCAGGGGCCCGGGGTTGCTTTTGGACGGGGCTGGCTACCTCTAGGCTGAGGTTCAGCCCGTCAAATGCCAATTGACAGACCCAACATCTTTGTGACAGTGACGTTTACAAATCGCCGCATTTGACGGACGGTGACGGCCAGTTCGTTAGTGGCTATCAAAATTTCCTACTGTTTGTCACTGTCACTCTCCGTCTCCAAGCCTTCCATTTGGGCTGGAACAACTGCCCTGAGCGGGACCTAGACTAACCGCCGCCCGTGCCAACCTCGGCTCCCCCGTCGGGTCGGTTCTTGGCTCCTCCTGAGATCAACACTAGACTCCATCGGCCTCCCGACAACTGGTATCTCCACGCATCACCGCACCCATGGTGATCATCGACTAGTGTACTGCCGACTTTCCCCTGGCCCCTTCTTATTTCTCTGTTTATTGGAGTTTGTTCTTGTTCAACCAACGACATGATACGACCTCCGTCCCGATAAACGTTTGATACCCCCCCTTATTGATTGCGTTTCTCCAGCTTTAATACACCCACGCCAGCCAGCCTCGACCCTCCCGAATCCGAATCCCTCCTTATCCGATCCGATGAGCGAACCCAAGTCCCCCCCTCCAGGGCCTCCGCCTTCCGTTCCTGCTCCTGCTCCTGCTCCCGCTCCTGCTCCCTCTCCAGTTCCAACTGCCGCCGCCGCGCCGACTGTCCCTCCTCCTACCTTGCCGGCAAACAACACCTTTGCCCTCGCCCAGCAGCGACTAATCGCCCGCCGACAGGCCCGTGAGACAGAGAACGCCGCGCGCCTCGCCGCCCAGCGATCAGAATCCCAACTACGATCCCGCATCGCAGCCTCCCAATCCCCTTTAATCCGCCGCCTCGGCTCATCGACCCTCTCTTTCTGGGATGCTATCTCCTCGCGCGAGGGCACACGGCCCGCCTTCCGCGTCGGCCAAGTCGACGCCGAACTTCTCGACGCCGAGCTCGTCGATCTCCTCCGCACCCAGGTCGGCGACGCCCTAAAGTATATTGGCGGCGGCGTCTCATCGACCCTCAAAGACGAATGGGATGCCGAGATCCTGCTCATCCTGCGCGCCATCCTCTTCAAGCTGACCATCTGGGACCACGACGCCACGTACGGCGCTGCGCTCCAGAACCTGCGCTACACCGACGCCCGCAAGTCCGGCCCCGTGCTTCAGCCGCCATCGAAGCTGCAAAAGAGCCTGTACGGCTTCGTCACCGTGGGTGGCAAGTACCTTTGGACTAAATGGGAGACGTACCTTCTCGACCACGACGAAGCCTCTTCCTATTCCGTCGAGGGCCCCAACCCCAACATCCAGCGCCTCAGCCGCCTCACCGAATCGATCGGCACCTTCCACGCCTTCGCCTCTTTCGCCTCCTTCCTCGTCTTCCTCCTGCACGGCCGCTACCGGACCATCCTCGACCGGCTCCTGCGCATGCGTCTGGCGCCGCCCACCTCGCAAGTCTCGCGCGAGGTGTCATTCGAGTACCTCAACCGCCAACTCGTCTGGCACGCCTTCACCGAGTTCCTTTTGTTCGTCCTCCCCTTGGTGGGAATCAACCGCTGGCGCCGCTGGCTGGCACGCACCTGGCGCCGCACAAAATCGATGCTCACCACCTCTTCCACCAACGATCCCACCCAGAACAAGGGCGGCGAATTCGCCTTTTTACCGGAACGCACCTGCGCCATCTGCTACCAGGACCAAAACAGCGCCAAGTCCGAAGCCGAGCTCATGGCCGCCGCCTCTTCGTCTTCAGGCGTCGTCGGCTCCGCCCAGACCGACATCACGAACCCTTACGAGGCCATGCCCTGCGGCTGCGTGTACTGCTTCGTGTGCGTGGCGACGCGCATCGAGCGCGAGGAAGGCGAAGGGTGGACGTGTTTGCGGTGCGGCGAGCTAGTTAAAGAATGCAAGCCTTGGAATGGCGATGTTTTGAGTCCTGCTGAAGCTCATGCAGCGGCGGCAAATCAAGGCGGGAGGAACGTGGCGTTTGCGGCTGGCGTAAAGGAACGACCTAACCTGAATCGATTGTCGACGGAGAGCAGTGGGAGGAGGAGTAGCAGTAATCGGGTGTCGTTTGATGATGAGATCAGGGAGAGGAGGAGGGTGTCGTTCGAGGATGAGATTAGACCGGGCGAGGATGCGGCTAGTGATGATGGGCCGGTTCGGGTGCCGGAGAGGAGGGAGAGCCAAAAGCAGAGCCAGACGGCAAGGGCAGTTGGGACGGGTGTAAGTGAGGGTAAGACGAGCGGTACGAAGGCGGATGAAGAGGAGGAGGGTGAAGACGAAGAAGAAGAAGGAGAGGATGAAGAAGACCAGGAGGAGGAGGAGGAATCACAATCAAGCGGGGACCTTCAAACAAGTACTGACGCCGAGGACGATGAAGATGACGGAGAAGAGGAAGAGGAAGAAGAAGAAGGAGAAGGCTCAGAATCAGGATCAGATAGTTCCGATTCCGAAGACTACGAAGCGGAAGAAGAGGAACTTGGTGAGGATCTTGCTTTCTAGTCTTATATCAGATCGAACCAGATGAGACCAGACCAGGCCGGAAAACTACGTACGAAGCAAGCATTAGATCAGGAGCAAGTAAGGTATTAAGCAAGCATGCATCTTTTGTTTTTTTTTTTTTCAGGGGTGGTTCGGAACTTTCTCTGTGCGTATAAGAGTATGATTGTAACAAAATGCTCGGTACATTCGACGATAAAATATATGGACGGGGAGATCGGATAATATTACCTATACATAATTATGATACCTACCGTACTCTTTCAGGAAAATATAAGGAGCTATGATCATGTCAAAAACGATGGGACACGGCGGGTGTTGTTTGTTCGCATAGACAGAGAGGTCTCCGCTTCTGTTGAGTTCATTCGAGTGTCGAGAAACTACCTAGCTACCATAAATGTCACTGAAGTGCGAACCGTAAACACAAATTAAACATAACTACTACTCCTGGTAGTAGCATAGCCTCACTCAACACGCTGATACACTTACATAACAAGTTCTTCACCGCTGATCAACCGCCTATCTGTCTTGCCCATCATAATCATCCAGTCTTTGTCCAAGTCATAAGTCATTATCATATACGAGCCATGAATCTAGCATGTCTATCCCGTCTCACTCTTTCCCTCTTTGTTTCCATCATCCATCCTGTCCAGCACATTCAGGATTCCCAAAAAAAAAACATCGCTTCCTCGTCCGTCAAAAAAGAAATCAAGAAAAAGAAAGAAAAAAAAAAAAAAAAGGGAAATAAGCCAAAAAGAAGGAAAATGAAAAATGAAAGTATGAGGCCGGCAACCAGCCATATGCCGCAGTATCAGTTCTCATCACTCATCTCCTTTCAGTCTTTTCCCATATCCAAAAAAAAAAAGTGCTGCCTCTCATATCCAACCTTCCTTACAACCAACCTCCTTCTTCTACTTCCGCTTGAGACTGCCCAACCTCCTCTTCAGTGACTGCGCAATGGTTTTGCCCGTGGTATTACTTCTGTGCAACCCCCCACCACTGCTAGACTCTCCTCCTTCGTAGTCGTTCGAGTAGTAACCTCCTCCTCCTCCGTATCCCGTAGTCGTGGCATTGCTCACGCTTCTCTGACGAACTTTGGCGTTGCCCTCTTTCTGCTGGTAGCCCATCAGACCCGAGGAGGAGCTAGAAGAGCCAGGAACGTCCAGGTAGTGAGTAGAACGCGGTTGCATCTCAAGCATGCTCTCGCCTTCCTTGGAGGCGTAGTAGTTGCCGTAGCTATAGCTGCGGGCAAGACGGGAGGTGGCCTTGTGGTCTTTGAGCTGCTTCTCGATGGTGTAGGAGGGCTCGCCCTTGCCTTTGAGGTCATCGGGGTGGTATTGCTACATGGTTATCGGTTAGTCGATGTGGCTCTAGAGGAATGGAGGGATCTTTGGAGGGAAAAAAAAAAAGAAACATACATAACCCGCCCATCTCTTGTAAGCGGAGGCGTTACCGTTAGTGGCTCCCTCACGCATCATATCCGTGCCTTCTTGGTAGTCCATGGTGCGTCCGGCAAGATCTCGCATCCCGGGAGGGACGACGGCGGTTCCTTGCAATGGGACATGCTTGATCAGCGAATCCTGGACATACTCACGGGGAGTAGCCCTGAGAGCCTCCATGTTGGAGTCCTTGACTGCTTCGACGGGCGAATACTTCTTGTTGCGGTTACGGGACGCCAGGGTGGCATCGTATGGGCCGTCATGGTGGTACATGAAGCCGCGTCCGGGGCCAGTGTGATCTAAAGTGTCGATGATATCGATGGGTTGCTGACGGCGCGGGTTGCGCAGGTTGGGTGTTCGATCGGCAGCCCGGTAGTCTCGCTCGAGCATGGCGAGTGGCCGGTGAGACATGTCCCCGGGGTACCGCTCTTTCAGGGAGCTGGCACGAGGTCGACCGGTTTGATGAGCCATTGTATCTTGATATTCTCGTTGAGCGAGTGTTTCAAGTTTCTGGGTGAGGGTTTCCACAAATCGGTGAGGGTGATCCTTGCAAGGGAGACAGTACGTTGAACGCTCCAGCTTTTCTCGATCAAGAGCTTCTTTGACTCGTCTACACTTGGACGAGGAGACGAGGTGATGCTGAGGAAGTGTCCTGGTTCCAGCGGGTTGTGGAAAGGGCTAGCCGTAGGTATATAAGGATTTCTCTCGTTCCAACTTGGTTACCGGAGAGCGTTGTGGTTGCGAAGGAGGTGGGTTTGCTATTCTATTTATACTATTGCTTTTACTCGAAAATTGACGGAGTAGAAATATTTCTTCGGAATGCCCGGCGGTAGACGCAAGTGAGCGCCTGTGACGGTGGGTACCAAAATTGGACAAGTAGGACTGGCACACGGCGGAATCGGGCTCGTAGAGTGCCGGTCTTAGGATATACTTGCTTGCCTAATCGGGCGTGTAAGTGCAAGCCGTGGAGTAGAGGGATGCGGGCAAGATGCGAGGCGTAGGTGGGTAAATAAGTAGGTGTCGTTTTCAATTAAAATATACACATATGTCCGGGAGAAAAAGAGAACGGAGAAAATAATAGAGAGGCATGACCATGCAGTTTATATGTGTGCCGACGCTTACACGCAGGGTCCTGTCGAGCAAGCCGGACGAACCTAAGCATCATTGCAGTTGGGAGAGGTCTTCAAGTGGCTGCGCCTTGGCAGGGGATCAGCAGGAACGTGGTGGGAGTGACGCAACACCCGGGACTTTATGGCTGTCGTCACTAACAGGGGTGTTAAGTGAATACGGCGGAACCAGGCGAAACTGTTAACAAAACGGGTGGAACTGATAGCGCTTGCGATCATCACTACAACTGGAGGACAAGTCAACATGGATGCAAATCCCGCCAAAGCCGAAACCGGGAGCTATCCCGTCATCTTTGATCTGGTGGCGGTGATTCTTCCATGCTAGAGTTTTTTTTAGAGCTGACGACTTTGGCTTCTTGTCGAGGGACCCAAAGTGTGACGGTTGGGCACGGCGATCTGTGGGGCGACATGGTCGTAGAGGGCAAAGGAGGATAAAGCTTACGCAGTGCTTGTCGTACACCTGGTCGTCGTTGTCGTTGTACGTTCCGTCATCCCTCCCGCTTTTAGTTCCAGTCTCGGGTGTCTCGGAGTGGACAATTGTGCGGCCACCATGGCTTCCGGACGGCTGTGCGTACAGCTGGTTCAGACATCAGAGGGCCCTTGATGCAGGGGATCGACAGTAGGTAGTAGGTAGGTTGAAGTTTTAAGGTTGAGGCCGGGCCAGCGACGGCATGTTTGTTAGGCTGGTCGGTCGTGGTTGCGGGGTGCGGGTGGTGATATTGGCACACACATGGAAAGCAGTGGAAGGCACTGCAGGCCATTTGGGACCTACGGTAGGTACGTACAATGGCTGGATTAGAAAGAGGACTTGATTCAAGTTATACACAGCAATTCTAGAAAGAAGTCAACGTCTGCATCAAAGAGACAGCAACTTGAATTTAATCGATGTGCGGATAGAAGGCCGGATCGGAGAGAGGGAAGAAAGTGCGGGAGTGCAGGTGGAAGCCGCGGTTACCGCCGCGATGTCTTGCCAAGGGCTCGCTCGATCTTGCCGTCGAGTCTACTTCACGCTTCAAAATTCCTGCCGTCGCGACACAGAAATGAAAGAACCCAGTGAGCCAGGCACCGCGGCACCTCAACCTCAAAAATCTTTCGAGCAAACCTCGACGACCTGGCAAAACCATATCCAAGCTCAGCAACTTCAAACCGAGAGTTCATTCTTTAGTTACCGGAACGTCTTGGCTTTCTTCTTGGCCATTCGCTCGGAGGTTGGTTTGTATCTTTAGGGCAATTCTTTTTTGCACGGTACACCACCCACTTGGCCACACAAATTTAGAGCCAGACCTCAGCTCCCCTCTACTTACCCAGTCAGCCAGCTATCTTCTCAGCAACCTCCGTCACCGAGCAGCCCGTTACATACCAGTCATGAAACGGCCTCTGGTAGATTATGAGTCCGGGTCCGGATCCGAGTCCGAGTGTGGAAGCTCTTCGGACAGACCAGAATCAAATTCAACAAATATTCCTCCCCAGCTCAAGAGGCGCCGGAACGGTGACATCGGCACTCGGGCCCCACCGTCGGCTCCGGCTCTGGCTCCGGCTCCCACTCCGATTGCCCCACTTGACCGAAGCTCTAGCACCCACACCATACCGCCAAAACCGGCACCCAAGTCAAAATCATCTCTCCCACCCATCTCAGATCGATTCAATGATTTATACGCCTCTAATACTCGAACTGCTGTCTCTGACGATCCTTCCCTGCACCAAGGACGTCAGCGCCAGGTCCCTCATATTCCCGGCAACTGGCCGAGCCACGTGTATATCGATTGGGATCCCAGTTCGGCGGATCGTGAGCTCCTCTCGTCGCTTGTTGACAAGCTTCAGGCCGAGGTAGCTGCTGCTGCTCAACGTTACCCCGACCTCGAAGGAGTGAAAATCAGCACAGCCTTGCGAGATCCAGAGTTACCCGTGGACAAGCCATTGCACATCAGCCTGTCGGCCCCACTTACACTGACCTCAAAGAATAAAAACGCTTTTCTTGACGATGTAACCAGAGCATTGAGGTCAAGTGGTGTAAGCCCTTTTGTGGTGGACTTTTCCGGAGGAGTCGATTGGTATCGATCCGAGGAAAGCACCCGATCGTTCTTAGTCCTGCGGGTGCGTGAGGCTCAGGACACTGGCACCACTGCAGATTCGAGCCCCAACCCACGACTGACCACCCTAATTCAACGATGCAACAAGACCGTGAAAGAGTACGGTCAACCGCCACTCTATGATTCTCAAGACATGGGCTACCGCTTTCACGTCACCATAGCCTGGACTCACGCTCGTCCAAGTGAATCGTTAAAGCAGCTGACGGACTCAATCTTTGACGACTGCAAAACCATGTATAGTGAAAACATGCCGATCAGGGAAAAGCTTCGTACTGGCTCAAGTTTTCGCGTTGAAACGGTCAAGGTCAAGATTGGAAACCACGTTACCAGGTTTGAGCTACCTGATAAGGGTCTCGCCTTACCAGTCAAGACTGCATAGGAACGCGGGCCTTGCCAGTTCTCACGCGTCAAGCCATACTCGTCTGGCCTAGGAACGCCCTCAGTCTGTTAGGGCCAAGGGGAAGAAGGCGATCCAAGCCCTGCCGAGCATGGGTGTAACCCCGGAAAGTATTTCGATACGGAGGGGAGAGATTGTCTGCATTGCCTCGAGTCCCACCCGGAGATATCAAAGGGTCTCGACAACGATGCAGAACGGTTTTCGTGCCCCGGATGCGATCGGGTCTACTCGTCCGACAACTTCTTGTTACGCACCTGGATTCAGATGTTTGTCGCGCAAGGGAGAGAGCAGTTAAATGTATCCAAAATCATTTCATCTATAAAAAAAACGACATGGAGATGCCGTCTGTGTAGTAAATACTTCAGGCCTTCCATCAGGCGAGAGCATTCAGGTGATTTTCGAACGCATCTGGAAACAAATCGTTGCAAGAACCAGTCGACGTCGTTCCGTCAGCAATTGTATGCAAGATGGTGATTTTGAATATCACCATCGTTCAAATCCTTGCGGAAGATAGTAAGAAAAGGTACCAGTGGGTAGGACATTAGAAAAATCAAATTCACAAACCTCCAGGGTGGCAATACGCCTCGCCCGTAGCTGGCAGATACATAGATGTAGGCCGGCCGCTGTGCATTAGCATGTGTGTAAGTGATAAGTGGTGGGCTTATGTCCTCGAGTTTTCAGTAACGGGAAAAGTATTTTTTCCTACCGGCATATGCGTGCTTACCGCGGAGCGCAGGCATATTTCTGCTAGATTTCTGCCATCTGTCCAGCGCCCTAAAAAAAAAAAAAATAAAAAAAAAAAAAAAAAAAAAAAAAAAAAAAAGAAAAGATGCCCACCAAGGCGCGCGTACTTAAAAGAGTGATACAAAAAGTACACACGAAATGTGATTCATTGATATTTACTCAACAGGGAGGGGTGTGGAGGTACATGGACCTATGTGTGTATGTATTGACCATGAGACCGAGGACCAAGGGAAAACGCCAAGCGAGTGGTATAAACATGAAAGTATCATCATTTTTTGATCCCATCAACATTTGTCATGATAGTGTGTGACTCCAACGAATGAGAAAATGATAAAGCCTGGCTTTTATTATCAAATAAACAAGAAAGAAGAAAAAGGCTCCGTCTCTCTACCCCATAGTCTATTACTCTGCTCGATATCAAAGCTGAAAAGAAAAAACCTTGTATCAAAGCTCATCAAGACTAGGTCTCCTGAACTCCCAAGTCCGCGGCATGACGGGCAAACCGACGTAAAACTGCCAGAAGCGTTTAAGTTCGGTGATGGTAATTTCGTAGCTGTTTTGTAATTGACAATTCGTTAACAAGGTGAACAGCACCGACGAGTGACAAAAGACCAGAGGGGGGGGGGGGGGGGGGGGGGGGGAATGTGAAAATAGAGGGGTAAAAAAACTCACATCAGTGCAGGCAAATTGAAGTAGCTCTTGATCACCAGCTTGAATGCCGCCAATACCGCCCTGAACTCGTTTTCAAAGTCATCCTTGAGGGTCCTCTTCTTGTAGACAAAGTTGGGGTCGGTGTCGGGCTGTTGCGGTTGTCGCTGGAACTCGTGGAATTCATCATCATCATCATCATCATCGTTGTTGTTGTTGTCAACCTGTTGCTGATGCTCAACCATCGGAGCAGGAGTAACTCCCGCCGCTTTGGCCTCGTCTACAGCGGTTGTGGCAGTATTGGTGACGGACGCTTCAGCGTCATCAGCGGCAACGGGCGTCGAAACGATAACGTGTCTCGGCTTCTTGGCTCGGTCAGGGATGTGATGGGCTCCCGAATTCTCGGATCCTTCGATCTGTTCGTGGGATTGAGATTGTTGTCCCTCCTCGCTCTCCTCAACCATCGCCCTAAACTTCTGAATAGCGTCCAAACTGCTGCTCAACCGAGCATAAGTATTGAACAGTGCCACCAGCTCGGTACGCTTAAGCTTGAACGGGATCTCGTCAGTCTTGGAAGTTGTCGCGGAGGTGTCGTTGTTAGCGAATTCGAAGAGAACCTTGAGCGCAGTTCCGTACCCGGCCGTCTGCAACTTGCCCCACAATCGACACTTGTCGCAGCCGACGCAGTCCATCAGTCTTGAGATGTTGCGGAAGCGGTTGCGGAAGTCTTCCTTCAGCGAAGGGCCCTCGCCGTTCTTGAACATGATCGACTC